TCTCCTAACTGACTACTTTGTTGGGGAACATTTGTTTCCAAAATGAATTTCATATTCAATTGAATCCTTGGGATGTTCCTCCAGGCCCAATAGTTAATCTTGTCTAAATGATCTGCTACCCGAGCTTCAAATTTGGTAAAGGTTCCATCAGAGTTGAATTTTTCATAAGCCCCCTTACCGAGACTGTCATGAAGATGGACCTCCATTGACTCCAATCGTAGTTCCCCAAATAACAGTGATTAGGGAATGAATGAATCGGCATTAGGACCTATCCAAAGTTAAAAAAAAATATTTATCTTTACATACCACAATACAAAAACAAAACGACAATAACAAAATTAATTTGAAAAAATAAAATTCAGTTTACCGTATCCACATTCCACCAAACAACCATGAAGTTGGGGTATGTAGCAATACCAACGATAAACACCCTCCAATCGTAACCTTCCTCAACATGATGGCAAGCAAAAAAAATTTGGAGGCATTATTGTATACCGGTCGCTATCAATTCGTCTCTTCATCAGTAGTCTATACCAAATGGTCATATGCTGCAAAACTTATGATACTTTTGTTATTAACTAATAAATAAAACACAATTACAATAATAAATTAAAAGATATTTTACCCCTGCGTCCAACCATCCGTCGTGTGTATGCCCAAACAACGCACTCCAAATATCTCTACCTAACACAAAATTGTACAAACGGTGCTGCACGTTATATGAATGAAATAAATATTTATGTATCACAACCTCACCGCCTGCTACATAAGGTTGCAAGCGCAACTCCGAGAATTCGTGAACAACAGCAAATGCTGGAGGACGAACGGGGCTTGTTGATTTGCTATCAACCTTCTTCTTTGGTCTTCTTTTTTGCTTCGGTGTCGTGTGCAACTAAAACAATATTGAAATGTTTAAATCTCTATCTTTCAAATAATTCACATAAAAATAAATTTCTATAATTACGATATAAGCTTTTAAATTGAACGAATAACTCGGTGTAAGGAGTACACATATACTTTGATGGATTTCGAGCCCTAGGTCTACATGGTGCAACTTCTTTGCCATCAAAACCACAATCATCATAATAATTTACATTTCCCGTAATTAATAATTCTTCCTCCGACACCTAAATTAATAAGAAATAATCTTTAATTAAAAAATGTATGGATCTACTATAAAACAAAAAAAATAAATGTAAGTATAACAACCTCTTTAGCTTCATTATCGTCAATATCAAACACATCATCATCGAATTTGTTCTACTACGACTCGCATTGTCTATCCTCTCCTCCAACTCCTACATTAAAATTAAGACATTATAATTATTAACGAAAGACACAGTTACATTAAACAATTAAAATCGTAATTGTAATATATATAATAACCTTGTCGTCTTCAATATCACAAAAAACATTTTCATTTGTTTTATTTTTATTCATCCCTTTATCTTCTACAACCTACATTTTCAGCTATATAATATTAACAAAAATTTTCAATTATGTAAACAAATTATATAAAAAATGTAGCGTGTAACTAACCGCTTCACCAAAATTTGTTTGGAATACTGCAGGGTCCTCAAAACTGATGTTCTTCCATATATCTTCATTATCCACTTCTTCTACAAACACCTCAGTAGGTTCTCGGTTCATAAACACTTGTTGCTCCGGTGCATGTAGCCGTTTCAACACCTCCTCTAACCTAGGTTTCCCACTACGTCCACCTCTACCGTGAGAGCGACCACTAGACGACATACTAGACACAGATTCGTCTTGTCTCCTAAAACGGTCACGTACTGGGGATGGAACTGAATTCCGTTCACCATATAGATACTCTTCCCATGACATATAATAAGAAGATGTCATCTCATCATCACTAGGTGATATTTTATTTCTTGGACGTTGTCCCTCCTAAAAAAATTTAACATATTATAAATGCATATATAAAGTGTAATAAGGAATTTTTTAAAATTAAAACAATTTTTATAAACCTTTGTCATTGAAAAAATTTTGTTCACATCAACCCATTTCAAATTTTTTGTGTCACTCCATCGTTTCATCCGAGACATGTCTCTGTTTTTTCTCAACACAAATCCACCACCACGAACAGTTGGAAGCATCTTATATATCAATATCTACAATTTTCACAATTATAGTAACTAACACAACAATAAAATGTTACAAATAATAATAAATTTTTATACCCTAAATGGCGCCGTAAATCCTGAAACGGAGTATTTAAATGTTTGACGAGGCTCCGGCAGTGAAAAATATTTATTTATCTTGTTCCACGTATCCTCAAGGTCGTCATAGGTAAAATCCCATAAATAGCTACCACAAGCAAAACTGCAAAAAAAAAAATTATAATATACATTAACATTAATAATATGAAACTTTCAAAGTAAACAAAAAATACATGTTTCACACATCCAAATTCTCAGCCAAAAAAAACCAGTCTTGTGGCACCCGATCGTTTATTTCTTTTCCCAAAAATCCTTCACACAAAATGTATATCAGACAGACTCTAACCGCATCATCGTCGCTAGCTTCTAAGAATGGACGATTTAAAATAAAACTTTTCAGGTCACCGATTTTCACCGAACTATTTGTATGGTTCGGAAATAGACGTTCACGCAATAAACATCTTTTTTCAGTACTAATTTTTTTTCTGACACTTTTTTGCCAATCATTTTGGGATACTCGCCAAAATTAAACCTGATTATCAAACAAAACTCTTCCGGGCCATATACCATTTTCGTATCCTCCACTCTAAAATATAAACGTTTTATGCCATTTGAAGATAAAACAGCGTCCGACCGTATCTGATGAAGAAACATCTTGTGGAACAACAATATGTCCCCTTGTAAATGAGGGACGTCCAACAAATAACCAAATACAGTTTGTCTAAAAATATCGCGTCTAGCACCATCTAACACCTCAAATACTTCCCAGATGTTACATCCAGATCCTTTTAAGTTCACAATAGCTTTAACATTCAAATTATTATAATCATGCTGCAAAAAACAACAACATATTAGAAAAGTAAACAACTATTTCCTTTAAAAATATCTGGATATTAAATGGAATAAATAATGCAAAATAATCCAAAATTCAAATAATGCAAAAATAATCCAAAATTCAAATTACAAAATCCAAAATTCAATGCAAAAACCAACATTCAATAAATAAATTTAACATTTACGCTGAAAAAAAATAACATACTATAACAATTTTTAAACTTAAACGAAAAGTATATACAATTTTTCAACTTATATGACAAGTATACAATTTTCAAGTTATACGGAAAGTATACAATTTTGTAACCATTATTGTAACAAATTTTAAACTTAAACGACAAATACATACTATATACAATTTTTCAAGTTATACGACAAGTATACAGACGACCACTAACCAAACATATTGTAACCATTATTGTAACAATTTTTTTTAACTTTCAACTTAAAAAAATAACGTATTCTAACCATTTAACTAAATGTACAACAAGGCAATACACATTCTACGCAATCTATACTTGTACATTCATGCAACCACTAAGAAAATAGCATAAAAACTTCAAGGATACTAATAAACAATATTACACAATTAGCCAATAACAAAAAATATAGTTTCATTTTCTTTTACAAAAACTAATAGAATAAATAATAAATAAATATAAACATACACTAAATAAATGTTGATCAAAACATAAAATGAGTTAAAATCTTACCATATTTTCGGGATTGTTGAAGAAATCGTCCATTTTGTTGAAGAAATCGTCAAAAGAAATCGCAGAGAGAGAGCATCTTTCTAAAATGGAGAGTGAAAAATGAAGGAAAAAAAAACGTTTTTATACAAAAATCAGGTCAAAATCGCAGATGGACTTTTCCATCTGTGAATGTACAAGTGCCTAAAGCACATGTACATTCGCAGATGGAATGACAAAATCGCAGATGGACTCCATCTGCGATTTCAGTGGCTATATTTACAATTTCGATTATTTTCTGGCTATTTTACACAAGGTGATTAATGTATTTGGTTAAATTTGCAATTATCTGGTATAAATATTTTTTGCAAAAACTCTTTTTAATTCTTTATTTCTTTCTTCAGCTAAACACTTTGAGATAAGCAAATCCCAAACAAAACCTTTCGTGTAATCCTTGAACACGATCAATAGTGATGAATCTTCATCGCACAAACTTTCGGTTCTTAATCTTCTCCCATGGCGATCTGCCATGTTTTCATCTACAATTTCATGGATTCCTTTCACTGGATTGCTCTTGCTCCATGGAAATCAAAAGTTATTGTTTTTGTGGGAAGCTCGGGTTCCATAATTACAGGTAAATCATACTGTTGACCTATTTGTCTTTCTGAAATCCAACCAAGATTTCAAAAAGGTAGCTCACTATGTCAAGAATCGAGCATACTTTTCAAAATTAAAACTACCTTAAGGGAAAATCATTCATGCAACATGTACTTTATTAGCGACTGAATTGTGTGAGTAGCATAGTTTGAGTAAATCCGTGTGTGATTGTGTCAAATTGTCGAAATGAGATTTTAGAGAAGCTTCTGTTTATGGTTAGCCTCAATCGTTATCAATCATATACCTATGTTGACAATTAGGTAATTCTCCACTTATTTCAACAATTGGTTGTCTTGCATAAAACCTTAAAATCATATCACTTTGTACAAAAAGTTGATTGTTTTGATCCTAACTATTAGAATAATAATCAGTTTTACATAACACTCTAAACAGATAAGTTTAATCACATCCAAACATCTCCTAGGATTGAAAAACACTGACTTGCTTGTGTATGCTCAATCTGTTGATTGTCAAGTTTTCCAACTATGCACAACCATAGCAATTACCTTTTTAATCAGGAGATTTACTGGAACACAAAATGATTATCATTATTATCATTTTATCTTTTTATCTACATTAACTTCTTTTATTTCAGAGCATGGATGAGCTGATGGGCATACATTGGCTTCCATGTGGATTGATGCATGTATTCCAGTCACAAAGAAGTTTTTCAATACCAATTGCTTCCTTTGCATATTTGCAAAGATGCAGTTTCTATTCCTCAAGGGTCACTCCTAATGCCACATAGGAGATAATGTAAGCTTTTCCATTCCAAAGATATGATTTTTTTATTTGTGGGGGGTTATGTCTGACTATGTAAGAGGATAATAGCTCATTAAAATAGTTTGAACGGATTAGAGATGAATACCCTTTTCATTGGTCTTTTCATTCCATAAGTTTGACAAGTGAGGGTATGTATTTGGTAAGAATACACATAAAGAAAACGTGAACATTTAACTCAAGTACTCAACAAAAACAAGTCAAAGTACATAAATCCACGGCTTTTTCTGATTCGGTTATATAACTTTTTATAGAGATGTGGACACGTGGATTATGAAGCGGTGTGAAATTACTTTATGCATTCATGAAGCATTTATAAACACAGCTAAGGAAGCAAATGTGCTTAGTGATCTCCGCTTCTCTTAGGAATTAAGAGGAGAATAGCCGAATTCTTCATCGAGTAAGTGGTTTGATTCTTTGTTCTTAGGTTCTGATACTGATCTTGCTTTTTTAGTAGACAAGAGTTGATTGATATCTAACAATTGCACAAACTTTTTACTTGATTGAAATTGATGATGATCATGGGGTTAGCCAACTGTGATCACATATATTGTTCTTGAATCTGGAGTCATTTTTGGTTCTTGAATTAGAATCTTTGTATGCTTGATTAATTAATTTGCAGATCTATATACTTTTAAATTTGGGAATTTCTTGATTTGGAAAGAAATCGATGATGATCAGGTGGTTAATTTGGTTGAAATCGTTGTCATCGATGGAATTGAAAATTCATTTCCACATTGACAAATGCATGCGATTTTCGAACCCCTTATAAATTAAACACAAAAAAATTGCTTTTTTTGGGGGACATACATTGGTTTCTCAATGATAATTGCAGATTATGTATTATCATAGGGTTAAATGCATAATTATGCAATCTCTCTTCACTTTTTTTTTACCAATTTACACAACAAAATGGTTTCTGACACGAATTATGCAACCATGTTTCGATTTTTTACCTGTTTATGCAACAAAATGGTTTTTGACACGAAATGCACTCATGTTTCAATTTGTTGCTAAAATTATGCACGCGTTAATTTTCATTGCAACCCATTGGTAAAAATTTGGTTACAAAAGGAAAGATTATTGCATAAATGGTAAAAAGACCATAAAAACAAATAATTCACTAAAAAAAAATAGAACAAGTCGAAGTAAACACAAGCTTATTATTTTAGTTTTTCAGTAAAAACTGTAAATACATGACAATTTGTCTTAGTTTTCAACATATTTAATCAATTTAACTTGTAGATAAATCATAAAAGTCATAAAACAACATCTTTTTGGATATTTTAGTTCGTTTAGCTTTTATATATAAAGAACCAGGCTGAACATATATAAACTAAACCTTCAGTTTTTCAAAACGGTTTGTTTTTTCCTTCGGTTTGTTTTTTCCTTTATTTTTTTCAGCCGTTTTTTTTGCACACACCATGTCATGCATACAACTTCTCATAGTTGAAAGGAGTTCTATTATAAATTCATAACGTTATTTAGTTTTTCTACTCAAAATCATCAGCTTCAAATATAGTATTGATATGTATTCATTTATTGCAGATGAAATATTGGTAAAACTGTTGATAATCAATCCATTCTCTACAATGATTGAGCTATTCAATAAGCTAAAGCGACCTTTCAATGGTATTTGGGATGCTGTGGAGTCCAACAAGGTAACCTTTGAGTCCATATTACTCAGGCTTCCTGTGAAAAGCATATTAATCTTCAAATCCGTTTCAAAGCTCTGGTATAATCTAATGTCCAAAAAGTCTTTCATCTTATCACATAGACATTTCTCCAAACAAAACCCCAAATTTTTCGTCTTCTATGCTCCCGATGAAGACCTTGAAGACAACATACTTCATGAAATGCATCTAATGGAACCCAATGGGGCCTACACCGAATCCTACACAATTCCCATTTTTAAAACCTTACAATTACATCACCCGATTTTAATCGCTTCTTTCAATGGTCTAATATGCTTCATGAATGATATGACTCCATACGAATCATCATATGACATGGCATTACACATCTGCAACCCCGCCACCCGTGAAGTCCTAACCCTCCCGAGAAGCCACCTGTCATATGACATACCGATTTTCGGGGTCTTGTATTCGAACAATTTCCATATTTATAAAATCTTTAAGTTTTTTAGTGACCCTGTTGATCCCGAAAAGGGTTATGCACAATGTGAAGTGTACTCTTCAAAATCAGGAGAATGGAAACTAATCCCGCGTATCACTTTGCGTCCTTTAATAAATTTTACCCTTTCATTGGCATCGAATCATGTTTGTGTAAATGAAAAGTTATATTGGTTTGTCTCTCAAGATTTTGATGAGGGTTTTGAATATCCGACTTTGATACTTATGGTTGATATTGACGATAATTTCCATGAAATCGAGATTCCAAATGGTTCTGAAACCGCGTTCTTGATTGAGTTTTGGGGGAGGCTTTGTTTTGTGGATTGGACAAAGTCAAAGTTTTATATTTGGCTTTTTAATGAGATGAATGAAGGTTGGTATTTGTTGGAGATAGTGAAATTTCCTGTTGATTCGATGGAAGTTGCTTATTTTGACTCGGTGGCTGCATGTGAGGATGAAATATTGTTTGTTTATAAAGATGTTAAGGGTTTGAGACATGAGAAATTGTATGATGTGGGCCATAGTACATGGAAAGAATTCCATATAGCTGAGGATGATAAAGATAAAGCAATTGTTGTGTTTCCGTTCTTTGAAACTCTCCTTCCGTGTAGTAAGTATCATGGAAAAAATATGTTTATCTGTTTATTATTTATTATTTTATTCTACTTTCATTTATTCCTATTTTTGACATTATGCTTTGAAAAATATGCCTAAGTATAGTGTTGTAAGTTCAAATAAGAATAAACATCGGAAGTACAATGATATAATTGGGTGGGTTATTTTAAATGTGATATGCCTTAAGAAAAAGATTGAAAGTATACTATTGTAATAGAAGAAATGAAAGTAGGATGCTATAATAAACAAATAAATGGAAGTATGATGTTGTTTTTTGTTTATTATAACATAATACTTTCATATCTTTCTATTACAGCATTATAATTTGAAAAAATATACCTAATTATATGAATATCATTTAACTACAATACAATTCTTGTTGCTGTAATTAGGTAGAATTTTTCAAAGTATCATGTCTTAATATGAAAATATAAATGAAAAGTAGAATGATATAGTTGGGTATATTTTTAAAAGTACAATGCCTTAATAATAAAAGATTGAAACTACAAATTAGAATGCTATAACATGCAAGTAAATGAAAGTACAATGATGTGATGGAAAGAAATGAAAGTAGGATGCTATAATTAACAAATAAATAAAAGTATGTTGTTGTCTCTTGCTTTTAGCCCTATTTGTTTATTATAACATCCTACTTTTCCTTCTTTCTATCACAAGGTTACTTTATATAATTTAATGCAAGTAGAACGCCATAATACACAAATTAATGAAATCAAGACGTTCTTTCTCTCAATTAGCCCTTTTACTTGTAATCATGTATCACTAGAACGTGTTTTAAACAGTCTATATTTCAGTTCCTAACCTTTTCATTGGTACTTTTACAGAAAGTCACTGGTAATAAAGAGCAAAAAGGCAAATACTTGTTACAACATGGTAAGGTTTACTCTTTTATGAATTATGACCTTAACAAGTCATGAAAACATTATCAAAATGTTAAAAGACTCTTTACAAAGATTTTTCTTTCCGAATCCTTGCAAAATTAAGGTGTTTTGGTGCATTGGGTTGCTTTGTTAGACATGACATGACATAAGTTTTTCTGGTTGCAGATCTGCAGGTAGGAATATGCAACTGGGATCTGGTTCAGGTGTCTGAGTGGTGGTGGTTTTCTTAAAAAACTGTGTGTGAAGTGTGAACTGTAAACTCTGTTTCTGTTGTTTGGTTTGTTTGAACTTCTTTAACTGTGTGGTTTGTGAACTCTGTGTGTTTTGTGTGCTATAAACTTGAATTTGATAACTATCTGCTATCGTGTGGTTTGGTGTCGGTTTTTTCTGTTTGTTGAAGTGATGTCAACATGCTTAGCTTGACTGTAGAATTTTACACATACTCTTATGGTGCTGGGTCCTACTTTAGCAAAACTATTAAATCTTCATTGTGATGGCATATTAATAGCCAGTGGCGGACATTAGTGGAGCCCGGGGGGTCCCGAGCCACTGTTCTGATTTCGGCAATTAGTGTATTCTTTTTTCTATTAGGCGCAACGTCTTGAAATACGGATGCCACTATTAATTTAGATTTGTCAGAATTTTTTTTTGAATGTCACCACTACTCAAACTTTCTACGTCCGCCACTATTAATAGCTATTGTGGGGGCATATGTGTACGTTAGCCTGAGCCCATACATCTCTGCATATATTTGTGATTGTTTATCATAATGAACACAAATAATTATTCAAATCCATAATAACAATGCATTTATATTTTGTATATAATAATGGCATATATGCATTCTTTACCCATAATAACATCGTAATTACAAATTCATTATTTATAATAGCAAACTACTAAAAAATTTAGTTGATAACAAAAATATATAACAAATAAAGTATAATTATCCATATTAGCAACAAAATACAAATAGTTATTTGTAGATATTGTGGGTGAAACATGTACTTTCTTATTTGAATTCGTATGGTTTGTATATATTATTTTTAACTTTTTTTAAAATGATTATCTACAAGTTATCATTAAATGATTCTTATTTCTTAGTATACCATAATAAAATTATTATTATAGAAATACATATTGATTATAATAATTCATTTTTAATAATTATTCGATCTTTCAATTTCCAAACACAAGCAACTTCATGCAAATATAGGTCTGACAATCGTGTCGTGTTCAGGTTGGCGGGTCAAAATATACCAACCCGAACACGACCCATTTAAGTATACAGGTCACGGGTTGGCGAGTTCATGGGTCAGATTTGGGTTCGTCTGTTCGTGGGTCAGATTCCATAAATAAAATTGATAATTAAACATGAATAAATTCTTGATGCAAACATATCTGAATTTTAGAAACTTAAGTTTTAAGCATCTAAATGAAAATTAAAAACATTCATGGAAACATGTTCAAACTAAAACATTAATACAAACATAGATAAATTAAATCGCAGGCGTTGACGTGGTTCGATAATGATTTAATCATTCATGTCGCCGTTCTTCATAAGTTCGTTCTGTCGTTCATCATAGAAAGAAGACCGGGAGAATGCGTATTTGATTTTGTTTGTGAGATACTGAGATTATTTAGTGAAAACACCAAACGTGTTGCAATGCAAATCAGTAAATGGTTACCCACAGGTCAAATGGTCAATGGTATCGAGTATTTTTATCCTAGTATAAAGTATAAACTGTATAGTGTATAATACTTAATACATTTAAAAATATATAATTTTTTTTTATTAAAATTCTAAACGGGTTGGCGGGTAAACCTATATATTTTTTGAGAAACTTATATATGACCTGTTTAGTAAACGGGTTGACGGGTTGAAAAACTCAACCCAAACCCGTTTATTTCGTGTCGTATCGCGTCATGCATATGTAAAGAACATTGAGTGCTTCTATATTTTCAAAAGTCTACTAAAAAACAAATATAAAAATGGCGTTTACTTTTTCAATGCTATTTTATTTACTTTGAAAATCACAAAAAAAAGCTTAAAATTGGCACCAAATTTCATTTAAGTTGATAAGGACACAATTGATCTTGACAAATGACAACTAATTTGGTCTATATTATATAATTAATATGAATTATCTTGTCTCAAAATTCACAACATGTTATTAGTGATTTTAAAATTAAATATACATAAAAGAAAATTCATTTTTACAAGTAACCCCCATAAAATAACGGACAAATACGGCCCAGCCCACAGATATTTAAAAGTTTAAACCGACGGACTTTTAACAGTTTTGGACATTTCGTTATGGCGCGCTTTTAACAGTTTTGGACATTTCGTTATGGCGCGCTGCTTGCTGTTACCGCCATTTTTGTGAAGGATTCAAGGCGTACTGGTGAAATTCTCTTTCCGAATTGCATAATCACTTTGATTTCAATTCCGATTGCTTTGTTTTTGTTTGATTTCATTGCTATAATCAAATGATTTGAATCGGTATATTGTTTCGTCATCGAAGGAAGTTAACGAGGGGATACGAACTAGGGTTAAGTTTACGATATAGAATGTTTCAGTTGGTTTGGTATACAGCGATAGGATTCAGGAGAGATTGTGCTTTTTGCATAATTGCATTCTTGTTGCTATACTTGGAATACATGATTCTTTTTATGTCTAGATTTAATCGTTTTCGAAAACGATCTGAAATAAGAACAAAATTCTCATCGTTGCAAACAAGAGATTCACATAATTTGATTCCACACTTGCTCTTGAAGCAAACAATACGTGGACTTCATGATCTAAGATTCATAGTACTTTACAATATTAAGTTTAATTAGCAAAGCTATTTTGGATCTCCCAAAGCTCTTAACCTAGGATTCCTGTGATTTGCTTCCTCTTGAGAAACGCCAATGTATTTGTTTTTTAGAATCATAACAACAATATGTGTTTATGGAAGGATGTGTTCTTTTTTTACCTTATCGATACTGAACAAATAGCTCCTAGTTTTGTCAGATAGTTAGTCCCAGTCTTTACTTAAGGCTTGGGTTGCTATTAGCTTATAACCACAAATGAAATCAAATTGATCTCTCTCCCTCTCTCTCTCCATTTCTCCCCATGGACGCCATAACTTCTGCTGTCATTGAAGGTGCCAAATCAATCTTTAAGTTAAGTCTTTCAGGAATCAAGACCCTTTCCAAATATGAAGAAAACATCTGTGAACTTCAGGAAGAGATTTCATACCTCAGGAACAAAAAGATTTTGATTGAAGAAGAGGTCTCCATAGCCATAATGGATGGAAAAACTCCAAAACAGCAAGTAACAGAATGGTTAAGGAAGGTTTCTCGAGCTGAAGATGCAGTAAGGCCACTGCTACAGATGCTACAGACACCTGATGAAAATATTAATGGCAGGAGCTTCAAGATGCTGCAACAGTATCAGCAGTCTTGGAGAGTAGCAAACAAACTTGATCATGTGAAAGAGCTCAATTCTACTTATTTTGAAACCGTTGCCCCTGAGAAATGCTCTCCAATAAAAGCTATGGAGGAAATGCAAGTCCCATCTCTTGTTGGGCAGCAGGCAGCTTCAGATATGATGAAGCTTCTTGAAATCTTGAATAGTGATGATAACAAAAGGATTGGTGTGTGGGGGAAAGGTGGCATAGGGAAGACAACTTCTGTCAAGAACTTGATCAATCACTTGTGCAATTCCTCTCCAAATTCTTTTAATATCGTGATCTGGGTTCAAGTCTCGAGGGAATTGAATTTGAGCATGATTCAGACTCAGATTGCCAAGAGACTTCATTTAAAAGTGGAAGCAGGAGACACCACTCACAGTTTAGCCAACAGAATTCTTCGAAGACTGAAGATGAGGGTGGAAGCTACCAGAAGGAAGATCCTTTTAGTCCTTGATGATGTCTGGGAAAAGATCGACTTAGATGCTATTGGTATTCCTTCAAGGGATTCCTGCTGTAAAATCCTCTTAACCACTCGATCTTTTGATGTCTGTAGAGACATGTCTGTTGATGTTCCTTTTCAGTTAAATCTCATGAGTGAAGATGATGCTTGGAATCTTTTTGTTCAAAGTGCTGGATCTGTACTTTATCTAGATGGGATACAATCTCCTGCAAGGAAGATCGTGGCAAGCTGTCGTGGACTCCCATTGGCTATAAAGACTCTTGGAAAATCCCTGAGGGACACACCGCAGACTGCCATCTGGCGAAACACGTATCTTAGGTGGCGATGCTCATCACCCTTGTTCAAGAACATTGAAAAAGAAGTCTTTAGGCCTTTAGCAGTGAGTTACCATTCTTTACCAAGTAAGATTCTTCAACAATGCTTTCTGTTTTGCTCTTTATACCCTGCAAGCTTCTCAATAGATGTTGTTGAATTAATCCAATGTTGGGTGTCTGATGGGTTAATCCATGAGAATCAAACTGTTGAAGAAGCATTCAATTATGGGGTTGCTTTGATTGAACACCTTAAGGATTCTTGCTTACTTGATCAAGATGGAGGACAAGGAACTGTGAAGATGCATGATGTTTTTCGTGATTTGGCCATACTTTTATCTCAGAATGAAGAATTATTTGGGTTTCATTGTCAATCAAGTCTTCCATTTAACCAGATGCCAAAAGAATCTTCCAGAAGGGTATCTTTAATCGGTTGCAAAATCTATAGGTTGCAAGAGTATCCTGTATATTCCAATCTTACTGTTTTGTTTCTCCAAGGTAACCCTATAAAGATCATCCCAGATGACTACTTTCTGAATCTCAAGTCTCTAAGGGTACTGAATTTAAGCAAAACCGAAATTACATCTTTGCCCTCGTCTTTTCTTTGCTTAGTCGAATTACGTTCTCTTTATCTCAGAGGCTGTTTTTCTTTAACGAAACTACCTTCTCTTGAACCTCTTTGTAAACTCCTTGTTCTTGACCTTTCTAGCACCCCAATACGAGAGCTTCCGGAAGGTTTAGGAAGTTTATGTCGTTTGAGAGAATTAAACCTCTCATACACTCGTTTGTTGAAGAAAATTGCTTCCGGAAGCATTTCAGGGTTATCAAGTCTGGAGACTCTAGACATGTCTTTCAGTGCTTATAACTGGAACCCTAAAATGGGTTCATGTCATCAAAATGCAACATTTGATGAGTTGCTATCATTGGATCGCCTTTCGGTTTTAAAAATAAGGCTTGACTCGGTTGACTCGCTTGCATCTGCATCTTCTTGGATCAAGAAATTAAAAAAGTTTGATATTCAAATCAGTCCAAATGACTCGAATTATGATGCTCAATCCAATGAAAAAAGATTGGTTCTCAGAGGAGTTGATCTCCTTCAAGAACACCTTCAAAGTCTTCTACACAACACAACTTCCCTCAGCTTGTTAACATGTGAAGGCATGGCTCAGAGACACTGGCTTAGCTTATCATCGCTGATGTCACTCACTATATCCAATTGTAGTGGTATAAGAATTTTGATAAGTCAAGAAAGAAGCTCGCATGCAATGTTCCCAAATCTACAACACTTGGTTCTCGATCATTTGAAAAATTTGGAAACTATTGTTGAAGGGATACTTTCTAGAGGGATTTGCCTTAGCAATTTGAAGACGATTCAAGTTTTTGATTGCCCAAAGCTAAAAGGAACCATTTCTTATGCAATGCTTAGACATGTTAAAAAGCTTGAGGAAATTAAGGTGAGTGGTTGTGAGAATATGTGTAGGGTTATTGAATCAGGGGGGCAAAAGAAGAAAAATCTTCCGGTTTTGAGGGTGATTGAGGTAAAGAACATGGTGAAATTAAGGACAATATGTGATGGGATGTGGGTTTGTCCAGTGTTGCAGCAGATTGAAGTTTCTCATTGCTTTCAGTTGAAGAAACTTCCTATTTCGGTTGGGGATTCGTGTAGTTTGAAAGAGATTAGAGGTGATGTTAAGTGGTGGAATAATTTGATATGGGAAAATCATGATGATAAGAGCTTCTTTCTGAAACACTTTCAAGCCTACCCCAGGGAGGACTGCTTAAAAAGGCAAAAATACAAGTAAGAACATCATGTTTTATGGATAAATTGTTGTATACATAAGGTCTGTATTTTTTTTGGTAGACTGAATACACCGTTTGAATGAGACTAAATCGCCAATTTACCCTCTCCCATTCTAAAAAACAATTTTAACAATATTCATCATTGTTTAATGTGAGAGGAGTTATGAGGAAAAAAAATGGGCGATTAGGTAAAAAGTTACTCTCTCAACATATTAAGCAAGGTTTTAATTTTTTTGGTTTAACCCATTAAGTCATTCAGTCTGGATTTGGACAAAAAGAAACAAGCATGTATAACTGTCCAGATTAAGTGTTTAACTCATTAAGTCAAAATGAAACATCCCCTTATTCTTCTCCATAACTCTGAGGACTTATTGACTATTGTCGTGTCTTAAATAGCCATTTCTTGCATGTTTTCACTTTGGTTCTGCATTTCCAACTGTCTATACTATTATCTTTTATCAACATACTAATAAATAAACTATAAACCAAACTAGTTGATTCAAATCTATACAAGATGTCTTGTGTACAATTAGATAATTGACTGATTACAATGACCCAAATCTATTAAGTTCATAAGTCATTTGTACTTGTCCAGTTCTCCTAGAAAACATGTAGTCCTCAGTTCAAATAGCTACAAATTAAATGGAATGACGGGTGTTCTTGCAACAGATTTGATGATGGTTAATTATAGTTAAAAGCTAAAATTGAAAACTCTATAAATGAATAAGTCGATATAGATTATTTATTATCTATCACGAGTCAGATAAGTAGAATCATAAATATCAACCAAGAAAGAATTGAGTAGAACATGTCAAAAGGCAAAGCAAGACGATTTTGTTATTGAAGGTGACATTCTATTTCCAGGCAAGTGCAAATAATAACAGCCCACATAGAAGAAATTGTTGAATCATAGGAAAAGGGATGAGACGCTAAAAGTAACATATGTGTAACATATGTTTATTAATTTCCCAAGTACAAATCGATGACATCATTTTCCATAAGTTAACAACCAAAGAACATATGAGCTATTGAAATGGAAATTTCAATACCACTTTCCACTAGAAATTGACACCTATTTTCCTAGGAAATTCCAATAAAAGAATAGGTGGGTCTAATCATCTCCACCCCTACTATCATAATATTAATTTACATTATGAAAGTTATACTTATTATATTTAAATACTAATAAAGTTAAAAGTTAAGGGTGGTGTGGTGAACTAGACCAAAGTGGGAAGTATTTTGTAATGGCATTATTGTTTAAAGTATATAATCACACCATACCTTGAAGCAATGAGGATATTTGTTTCAGAAAAATCATCCAATTTTCACACACTGCATTTATATCTCAATCAAATAAATTCAAAGAGTTATAGATTCCAAACCAATATTGACTTCCAAACATGTAGTTTTATTCTATCATTTGTGTGTATCTAACTCTATTAAATTGGCCTGAATTTCAGGCCAATCACATTTCATGAAGACCAAGACAAGTAGTTATCCACAATTTCCATAACCTTCGATTTACGTAAGGATGTAACATACATGGTTCCCCTTTTACTTGTTTGTCTTACATGTGATCCGTAAACATCACGTGTGGAAACACATGGCATAATTCCAACAACGTTTGATGAATGAAGAATAAATCTTATGGCTAGTTAGATATATCATTTGCATGATGATAAAAACATTGCCCCATTCTTACAAAAAACGACAAAAGAACTTGAATTTTAGTATTGCATGTTTTCTCTTTTATTCGTATTTTCTCTCTTGCATAATATATGGTTTTTAGTAGATACATTATCTGGACTTTTTTCTCTTTCAGTGTCGATAGAATATCATATGCCATCACATTCTTTCTTGACAAATTGGCCACCAAACGAGCTTCATTAACAAACAGTCATATTACATATGGATGGAATTCCAAAATGCAGGTTTATCGTTATGTTTTTCACATACCACACTTAACATCCAAAAGATACAATATTTACCCTTTTATTGAATCGATAATTACAAAAAACAAAATTGCAAAAATGGTCCCTGTGGTATGCATTTTTTTTGGGGTTTCAGTCCAAACCTCGACTTTTTTGGATTCATGGTCTTTTTGGCCTAGTTTGTACGCAAAATTGGTCCCCCGACTTAACTGCCGTTAAGTTTTTTGCTGTTAACCTCCTCATGTGCATCTCACATGAGAGTATATTTGTCTTTTCACACATAAGAGTATATTTGTCTTTTCACACATAAGAGTATATTTGTCTTTTCACACATAAGAGTATATTTGTCTTTTCACTTCTAAGGGACCATTTTTCCACCTTTAAAAAGTAATAACTTTTTATTTATTTTAATAATGAAAAAATAAAAGTTATCTCTCTCTCCACAATTGGGAATCGATCTCACCAGATCGATTTTCATCTCCAAATCGCCCTCGTTCATCTCCTTACTATCGACATCAAATTTAATCTCATTTCGTTATATGATTCAGAAAACTGAGGACGAAGAGGGTACGGCCAAAAACCCATTAAAGGATCTCTACATACGAGGTAAAATTACTCTCTTAATTCACCCTTTCACGCTTAAAATTCATTACCCATCAAAAAGTTTGAATTGGAATCTGCCATTAATTCATCTCTAATTTCTTCTAGTTCTTCCCCAAAATCCACAGAGGATACTACAAGTGTAGTAGTATGAGAGGATGCCCGGCTTGAAAACATATCGAGAGAGTATTGGATGATCCAAGAATGTTGATTGTTACTTACGAAGGAGATCACAATCATGCTCTTTTTGTAGTAGAAAATTCTAGGTTGATCTTAGAATCATTTTAATTTCATCAAAATCGATCTCTTTTTTCAGTTTTTTTCTCTTTATTTTTTGAGATGCCATGTTTTGATGATGATGATGATGAGAATTTGGCTGGGTGAATAGACCAAACTAAAATGACTAGGGTTTCGACTGAACTAGAAGTTTATAGTGGATGGAGGAGGAGATTTCATATGCTGGAAAACACATTGGTTACCTATATGATTTCTTCCATCTTGATCAATCAGTCCATATTGATCTGAACTAGAAGTTTATATGCCGAAAAACACATTTGGTTACCGGAGGACCTCAGTGAAATGCAAGTACTTGTCTCCCTTCCCTTGCTCACCTCCTGTACCTTTTTTCCCGTCACCACTCACCACCTGTCCTCCGCTAGTGACCCATAAGAGATCAACAACTTGGGGAAATCTTTCAGCTTCGAATCTACATAGTGTTTTGATTCATTGTGAAGGAATGAAAGAAGAAAGGGCTTTTACGGTGGAGAGAGAGATCTTTTATTTTTTCATTATTAAAATAAATAAAAGGTATTACTTTTTAAAATATATATATATATATATATATATATATATATATATATATATATATATATTTAGGTGCAAAAATGGTCCTTTAGAAGTGAAAAGACAAATATACCCTCATGTGAGATGCACATGAGGAGGTTACAGCAAAAACTTAACGGCAGTTAAGTCGGGGGACCAATTTTGCGTACAAACTAGGCCAAAAGGACCATGAATCCAAAAAAATCGAGGTTTGGACTGAAACCCCAAAAAAATGCATACCACAGGGACCATTTTTGCAATTTTGTCTTAAAAAAAATTGTCAGAGAGATTTTGTCCTAGAGATTTTAGTACTTTTATAAAAAAAAATGTCATGGAGATTACATACATACACACATGCATGCATACACAGAGAGACTTACAAAATGAAAGATAATAATGTGGGCACCAATAGAGTATAGACACTTAATAACTACTCGATCACATTGTAGAAAACAATTATGTGGAGGGAGGGGTTGAGTTGGGGTTGAATAGTTGGCCATCAAAATATATAAATAATAAATGAAACGAAAACAATATGGGTAATTTAGTTATTTATGTATGTTAGGTGTTGTTTATTTTTTCGAGGCAAAAATGTCTGAAGTCTGCGGATCACCTCTGTAACCCTCTATAGCAGAAGATGGGGACCAAACTGCTGCAACATTTAATAAAAAGTTTGTTTTTTAACCTCTGCAGATTGCTGCAATAAGTTAAAGTAATGTGTGAAGAGGTTTGAAGCAGAGGGTCCAGTGTTGCGCCACACAGCACACGCGCAACAGTTTTTAAGTCAGAAGTCTTCTGAAAAACAAACATCTGCAAATGGCCAAGTGTTGCGCGACGCAACAATAAGTGGTTAGATGTGATTTTTTTAGAAAAAACAAACAACACCTTCGTGACCAAAATAAAATCAAAACAAAACAACATGGTGGCTATTTGAAGTACTTACTGACTTATTGTGGTTTGGCACCGGTAAAGCTAGAGGGAGTGGTGTCACTTTTGCTACAACATTTTTGTTTGTCATGTAGGCACCACCCCATTTTTGTCAAATCTCTTCAATATCTTTTCATTTAGAGGGGATGGTATTTATAAAAATTTTGAATTAGAAAAATTAAAAAATATAGCTGTTGGTATTGGCTGGTCAAAGAGAGGGAAGGCTCTAGAGCTCGTTGTTGAGGATGAGGTTTCAACTTGGCATGCCGAGGTCAAGGTCCGGTGTTTATTGAGTCCATCTCAACAATGCTAATGGCATATCCATTATTTTTTATCAAACATTATTTTTTATCCTTTATTTTTTGAACTGCCATCTAATAGCTAATTATTAATACTATTGACGACGGTGAGTCTAACCGTCGTCCTCAAAATCTCAGCCCTTAAAACTCCACGTTCTTTCAATCTCGTCTGCATAAACTCGATTTTGGCGGTTTCTTGCAGTTCATCTTCCTGGTTCTTCTCTGCACGATTCCGTCTGTACCCACGTTGTAGACAATTGGCTGTTGTTTCCTCAAGAAACAGTTGATTTGGAAACTGCATTCAAGTGTAGCACGCATCCGACTTTTGCCGTTAACGGGAAATTGGTTTTAATCGATAACCGCACCACACGATTCCATGGTTGCTAGAAATCAGGTGGCTTTCATTAACCGTCTTGCCTATATAAAGAGTTGAATTTCAAGGTAATTGCTTCAATGAGAGTTGTCGATTGACAATTGTTGGAATAAATAGTTGCTTCTGTTGCTCCAATGTCTTCCGATTCGTCTGAGATACCTTCAATTAAGGTAAAAATTCATTTGTTTATTCGATTTCCATTGTTTGTATGTCATTGCATTTTTTTGTTTCAATTAGTAAACTAATTGATTCGTTTGATGTCATGTTTTTTCCAATTCGTATAATCTTTCTTCACGTAAGGTTAGCTTATTATCTCGATTCATTTGATATTTAGTCCATTATATAATCAAGTTCGATATAATCGAAAGTAATGTCCATTAATGTTTCAAGTTTCGATTTCATATGTATTAATAATTTTGTTACGTATACTTTTTATATAGAACATTGAAGTTGTTGCTGGAAAAGTGAATCCACCGAAAGATGTATCGAAATCGACAGTTAATCCTAATGATTCCAATTCCTCTAACATACCTTCAGCTGAGGTAAACATTCAATTGTTTAATTGATTTCTGTTATTTGTATTTCATTGGAATTGTTTGTTTAAATTGGTAAAAGTAATTGATTCCATACATTTATGTTTTGCAATTCGTTGGTTGTTTTCCCAGATAAGGTAAGCTTTTTTTACTCTGTAATCGTATCCTTTGATTGTTACTTAATTGTATTTTCAAGGTGGATGTCTATTTTAAGTGAAGGTTCAACTATGTTTCATATTTCGATTGCTTATGTAATAACAATTGTGCTATGTTTAATTATTATGTAGAACTTTGAATATGTTTGTGGAAAAGTCGATCCACTATAGATGTATCACAATCGACATTTGATCCTAATGATTCCAATTCGTCTGACATCTGCTCACCTAAGGTAAAAATTTACTTATTCAATCGATTTCTATGGTTTGTACTTTTTTGTTTGCAATTTGTCTATTATTTCTTCACACAAGGTAAACTTATTGTGTTTGTAATAGATTGATTTTATTTGTTATTCATTGTATATTCAATTTCGTTGAACTTAAATTTCATTTATTTCTCACAATTGGATTTCATATGTATTAGCAATTGTGTTCTTTGTGATTGTTTTGTAGAAATTTGGAGAATTTGATTGAAAAGTCAATCTACATTCAGATGTATCAAAATCTTCATTTATTACTCAAATTTGGATTTAATATGTATTAGCAATTGTGTTCTTTGTAATTGTTTTGTAGAAATTTGGAGATTTTGATGGAAAAATCAATCCACATTCAGATGTATCAAAATCGAAATGTCACTCTGACTCTGATAGTGTTGAAATAATCGACTTTAGTGTTCACTTCAGTCCCTACAAATCCCAGTTGGAGAGGGTAATTTCGGAAGAGGTAAAGATTTTATTATTTATGTTTTTTTGATATATATGCATGTAAGTTTGTTTTTCTATTTCAGATATCTTTAATTGCCAAAGAAGAGGAGAAGCTGGCAAAAAAAAGAAAAAAGGAAGTTGGCTTTGTTATGTTGGAAGTGGGAAGAAGTTGTAGATCTATGTGAAGATGAAGAATTGGGTGTAGATCTACCATTCATACCAGTGAAAAAGAAAGTGAAAGTTTCCATTCAATCAAGAAATCGAGTCATGAAACTTTTTGATGAATCAGATGTTGATGAGTGATTTAGATTAAGTTTGTGAACTTTTTTTTTATTTTTTTTTTTAGAATTGTTCTTTTGGATTTGCTGCATTTAGTGGTTAGTTGTTTTTTTGGATTAATGTTACTAAGTTTTTCAGTTGTAGTTAATTGTTTTTAATGTTAATTCACTTTTATTGCTTTCAATTAAAGTAATCGAATATCCTTATCAAATATTTTCAGCATATTTTATTTCGTTTAGTACTGTTTACCCCTCATGCATCATTTATGGTTTTGGACCATTTTACCCTTTCTACCCCAAACTGTATTGTAATTGTCATGGATAATTTTGGTTTGCAAACAATAAAGAAAGTCAATTATGCAAATAATAGATTTTAATTGCTAATAGAGTTTATGTTAATGAAATTTGATATGAAAAATAATAAATGATAGCATCATAGTTTGTTTATATATATATATATATATATATATATATATATATATGTTTTTTGTTATTGTAACAGATTGCTAAATGGGTTTAATGATATTGGACCATTTTACCCCTCCTGCATTGTTAATGATTTTTAACCGTTTTATCCCTGCTTGCTTTATCAGTGTTTTATGTTATAGGTAGTTTTGAGTTTTTGTTGTAAAAACCACAAATAATAAAAAAAGTAATTATGTTATATTTTCTTAATTAAGCATTATACTTTAAATTATAGCATCATACTTTACATTTTAATTCTTATTTACAATTAAAAGGTATGGTTTTTTGTTATTGTAACGTATTCGTTATTCGTTGTAAGTATTTTGGACGATTTTACCTATCCCCAATCTTTTATGAATTTGGATCGTTTACCCATCCCCCATTTGTATTGAAATGATTATGGGTTGTCAAATAAAATATGAATAAGAAAAATAGCATTATTTAAAAAAAAATGATGTTATATTTGAAAGTACGTTGCTTAAATAGTTACATCTTTTAACTTTATTTACAATACATTTGTCGGAGATGTACAATTGTTTTATATATTTAGAAAAAACTTAAATCTGAAAAAAAAAAAACTGAAAACTGAGGTTTGTGTCTTCCACTTACAACTTTAATGCAACAAGTTCTTTGGCTAAAGCTATATTCCTCTCCTGCAATGTAAGGAAATCCAGATCTGATTTATTAAGTTTCTATTGCATGCTTAAATGTGAGAGACACACCCTCCTTACATAATGGTTATATGCAAGAAATAACAATGTTCTTTAATTGATTTGTTTATCATAGCATCCCACTTTCATTCTTTATATTAAATATTTTTACTTTGAAAATCTACCAATCATAGCAATATGATTCAAATAGAAATGAATTTTACCCCTTGCAGATTAACCCCTGCTTGCATTATGAGTGTGTTATGTTACTGGTAGTTTTGAGTTTTTGTTGTGAAAAACACAAATAATATAAAAAGTAATTATGTTATCTTTTCTTAATTAACCATTATACTGTAAATTATAGCATCATACTTTACATTCTAATTCTTATTTACAATAAAAAGGTATGTTTTTTTTGTTATTGTAACATATTCGTTATTCGTTTTAATGATTTTGGACGATTTTACCCCTCCTGCATCTTTTCTGATTTTGGACCGTTTTACCCCTCCCCCATATGTAACTTCTCTTTGGTTTTTTCAAGCATTTTAACCTAATTTATACCTACTAAATTCAGTTAAGTAGTTTCAGAGTATTAAAAATATAAGAAATTTTATGAGGGAAATTTAAATTATGCGTTTTTGCTTTTTTCTTTTGTTTTTATCTATTATTTGTTTATTTAAATGTTATTTATATGAATATAAAAAATAGAGGGCAATAATGGAATTTGCACGGTTTACATGATTGGAGTTTACGAAAACTTGGGAGTAAAGTTGAGGGGTAGTGTATGTAACCGTTTCTTCTGTAACCTGTTACATCGGATTTGCTCTGCACGTTTATTCTATAACTTGCGATCAAATGAATTATGTGCATTGTAGCATATCGAAACATTCTCTGTGTCCATAACTTCTTTCATTCTGCTTCAATTAGTCGAGCAATCTGAAATTGGAATACATAAAAGGGTGATACAAGGTATTAACTTCAAATTAGTTATTACTTATCTTTTTTTAATGTTTGTTTATATGTTTGTAACTTATTTATGTGACAAAAGGTATGAGTTTTGTGAAATTGGATTAGTAATTCGTTTAACAATTGAAATATTGTATTGTGTTTTCAAGTTGTTTTGTTGTGTTTGTTGATTTTGTTGTTTTGTTTGTAAAGAAAACGTCTTACATAAAACAAAAACGGTTTATTTTGCCAAATTTTGTTTGTTTTTGCGTAAAATTGTAGATGAATTTATGTTTTATTTTATTTTGATGTAAGTTGTTTGCTATACAGCTTTTTCTTTCTCATATCTGTCAAGATAAAGAAACTCTTTTTTGGTGTGTAATTATCTGAAACAATATAACAACTTTATTTGATACAATAAAGAATGGATGATGCTGAAGGTTATGAAATCAATCGTCAAACACAACTCCATACGAAGGTATCTTTTTCAATTATATTTATGTCAACCCTACTGTTAAGTTCTCGACATTGGTAATTATTAAATAAATCTATAAATGGTGTGGGGTTAAATGGGAGGGGTGTGGGCATAATGGTCATTCTACTTTCAATATACTACCATTGTATTTATAATGGTTATTTTTATACTTTCATCTACCTTTTTAATCATTCATATGTTATATGCAATTTAAATATTTATTTTTAGTTTATGTTTGTTCATTATATGATTATTTTAATTGTTTTACAACAGACATTATTGGACACTGACGTGTTTATTGAAATTCTTTCAAGAACATCATTAAAGGCATTTCATATCATACGTTGTACAAGTAAACATCTTGAAAAACTAACGTACAACAGCCATGTTCTTGATCTTTTCAAGGGGAAAAATAATGTGCTTCATGGAGTTATTGTTCAACAAAAGAAAGTTTGGGGATCGATAGAACGTAAGTTTGTTTCGTCTTGTGGTTCGATTAACTTTGACATTGGTTGTATACCAAATTCGTGTACAATCTTAGCAACTTCATTGAACAGACTCATTCTTGGTGAATGTGATTGTCCGGATGAATATCCGGAAAAGTTTTTATTTATTTGTAAACCGACGACATTAGATTGCAGAACATTACCATTTCCGATATATAAGTACATTGCGGTCAAGTTTGCTATGGTGGTTATGCGTTCGAACCCGTTGCATTTCAAGATAATTCGTTTATCATATGCAGAGTCAGAGTAAGTATTTTTTACAATTATTATTTAAGTATTTTTTTTATTTGTTTGTATAACTTTTATGTTTCTTTCGTTGTAGTGACGTGACAAACGATCATGACTATGAAAACTTCCGACTAGAATTATTTCAGTCCACTACATGGGAATGGAGGGACCTTGGTAATATTCGGTTACCATATTATGTTCATCCGGTATCGGACGAAGCAATCATAAGTAAAGGTGTAGTTTACATCTTATTGTCAAACTATCAAATTTTGCAGTTTGATGCATATTCTGAAGAATATGTAATCATATTCTCACCTTCTACAAATATAAATTACATGTCATATACATCGAGGCTAATAAAATTTGAGGGAAAGTTGGGATTTTTTTGTCTGAATGGAGATCGTATGTGGGGTATTTGGGTTCTCATTCGTAATCAGTGGGTTGAAGTTGATGTTATTAGCATCAATGCAGATGCACATGAATGGTGGGATTATCGAAACAATGAACTTTCTTTTTTTACAGGAAAAAGAATTGAGTGTGTTGTTCCGGTTAATCGTTGTCATGAAGTCTTTTCATTTTGTTCGGATTTTGAGACGATAACTATGCCAAGAAGATTTATTTGATTGTATTTATTTGACATTGAATTGATTAATCGTTGTTTATTTGTTGGGTTTTATATTTTAAATATTTGGTTTTCATTTTATACTTTGTTTTTATTGTAATTTATAATTTCAATCATCGAATTATGTTGTTTTATGTTATATGATCTGAAATTATTTGTTTATATATGTGTTGAAGAAGGGAAACCAATTATTTCCATTTTTAGGTTGTAATGACTAATTTTGTTTGAATATATCTTTCAATTGCGGTTTAATTGTAGTCACAACATAACCTATATTTATGTATGTTCTTATTGACAACTTGGGGACTACATTTATGAATAGAGATGCACAAAGACCCGATCCGATCCGGTTTTGATGATGTCACAAAGAATCCGAATTCGCCCTTAATCCGAACCGGTTTTAAACCGGATTTGACCGGTTTTCCGAGCCCCGAATCCGAATCGGTTTAATCCGATCCGATCCGAAATCTGATCCGATTTTGCATTTTTTTTTAAATAAACATTTTTTGGACCTCATATATAACACAAAATGCAACAAAGGTTCATTAAAATAGTTAAAACATACATCAAACGTCGAATTAGAAAGACTTTTCAAACTAGTTAACTAATAATAATAATAATAGAGTAGCGTTATAACATTTAGCCAAATATAAATAGTTTTTGTGGTCTTCCACTTCGTGTCGCCTTCATTTAATTATTCTTCAACCGCCACGCAAAATAACTAGGGGTCTCATCAATACCATATTCTTCATCTTCGTCTTCGTCTTCGTCTTCAGCGTCATCGTCTTCGTCTTCCGGAGGTGTTGATAAGCCTTGTGCATATTCTTCATCCATGATCTCTGGTTCAACATTTTGTGGTAGTGGGCCTTCTAGTGATGCCAAGTGTTGTATACGTTCCACAGAATCCAAGTAATCCTTCAAGCAAACGCAAACCTCTACCGCAACCGGGGTAAGATTCGTCCTCAACTTTGATAATACTCTACCACTAAAAGAAAAAGTGGATTCCGAAGCTACCG